TTGCTTTCAGTATGCTGCTTTATCACAGTACTGGGAACCCTAAGGCACATGGGTTCAGATGTTTTAGTCTACCATGGAGGGGAAGGCACAGCAGAATTCATGGCAGTCGAAGTATGCCAAGAAAGCAGGCCAAGAGACAGAGAAAAATGGTCAGCATCAGCAGGTCCTTGGGGAGTAGAAAAAGACAAGATCTCCTAAGTAAATTGGGAGCATGGAGACCATGGGAGAGAGTTGAAAGGGGAGGAGAGAAGAAGGGAGGGGAGCAGAGAAAAATGTAGAGCTCAATAAAATCAATATTTAAAAAAGGACCCTCTCTTAGTGACATGTTTCTCCCCGCCAGGTTTCATGGCCTTTGAAACAGTGCTACAAGCTGGCAACTAAGCATTCCACCGTGAGCCTTGGGCATGCATTTCAGATTCAAACTCTCGCTGTGCTCAGCCGTGGAACTAAAAGTTCAACTGCTGGTTAGACGTGTGACCTTGAGCGACTACCTGAACTCTGACCCTTTACATCCCTCTTCTAGAAAACAAAGAAACCTGCCGCTAACACCCTGCTCCACTTAACCTTGAACAAGCCGCTAGCTTCTCCCACAGTCAAGAGGGCCTTTAAAGGAGGAAGCAATTTGGGCTGAGGAATTGAACAAGAAAACAATGACTATACCAGACCAGTGTGCTTTTGCTCTGTCTTCTGAAGAACTGGTCCGTCTTCTGCAAACCATATCTCAGCCAACACTCGTTGACAGGGTTGCAGATCCGTCCCAGCTTAATCGTTCACTGTGCTCTCCCTCTGCTGCCCAGAGTTACATAACAGGCCACGTGCAGCAGGGAAGGGCATGCCTGGGACAGACTACAAAGGGAAGTGCCATGGTCGAACTCTTCCGCCCTCAGTCGTCTCACGGGTACATATGACACATCCCTGTCTTTGGTATTTATTAAGCACCTACTATGTGCAGGGGCTGGAGACACAGGAATAAGACACAAGTTCAGCCCTTGTGCTGGTGTTCCAAGGAGAGAGAACTGTCGGGAAGAGGACTCGGGAGTGTGATTAAGGAAAGAATGGATGGCTGGGGTTCTTTAAAGATGAACCCAAAGTCAAATTCAGGTCTACTGAACACATTGCTACGTGCTGGGCTCTGAAGTAGGATGTAGATTTTTCTGGTTCATTGTCAGATCTGGTCTTAGGATTCGAGCCACTTGTAATGGAGGATACAGAGGTCTCACCCATTTGTGCCCTAACACAACGATATCCCACAGGTATTGTTCTGTGCCCCTTTAGGCTTGAGCCTCTAGAGCCCTGGGCAGCTAGGATCTCCAGCCTCTGTGGGGAGGAAGCTGGGAGAGCCTGTCATACAACAGATGAGAGAAGTCAGAGGCCAGGAGAAGCCGAGCATCCTGGATGAAGAAAGGGAGGTAGATTTCAGCCCTTAGGACCAGATGGCGTGGGTATGGCCCAGGAGAAAGCAGTCGTGGGAGTGAAACCCCCTAGTCCCACCCCACCCCAAGCTCACACCTCAGCCAAATCCAGTTACTCAGTCTTCAGCCAGGACTCAATAGATGCCTGGAAATGATCTATCAAGTATTAAATAATCGCAAATCACAGCAGCGTTCAGACACGGGGCTTCCTACGGGCCAGGAGCTACTCTATGAACGCTGTGCCTAGCTCCTCCATCTCTGAAGCAGTAAAAAGCAGAGACACTACACAGATAAGGGTGCTCAGGCCCAAAAAGATACACTAAGAGTCACATGGTCAGTGGGGGGAGGTGGGATCTGAACGCTGGCTCGAGGCAGAGCTCTTGACCAGGCCACAATGGTTTTGTCCTTACGTGAGTCACATGGCCCCAGGAAAACAGAACTATACTTTAATTTCCATACAATGGACTTCAGCAAAGAACCTTCTGAGAGAACTCCAAGGCTTGGTATTACAGATCCTAGTATTTCCTTGATTTTTTTTTACCCCAAAGCTTCACTTCCCATAACACAAGATGCTGGTGGCCCAGGTCTGTGGCTCAGGTTTCTTAGACTGGTACAGACACCCAGCATCTGCCTGCCTAGTTTCTATTTAAACATTCTTCTCAGCAGCAAGATAACACAGGCACTTCACAGAGCCAGGGACAGGTACAAGTTTACCCCAAATGTCCAAAGACAAGACAAATGGGTAACCCCTGAGGGACTATTGTGCCTCCCAGGAGCTGGCCACCCACCTTCAGCCCTCTGGATCTGTGCCCCTCCAGGCCTCACCCCTACCGGTTTTCTCTCACTCCTCAAGCATTTCTCATTCCTCATCCTAGGAAGGGGAAAAGGCTGGCACTGGGGTAGAAGACAAGCTTCCATGTGACATGTCCATCCATCAGATGCTTGTGCCCGCCCAGAGACCTGCAGGGGTTAGATGCCAGCGCATCTCTGAGAGAGCTGGTCTCTAGGGTGGTTTGTGAACATGCTCAGTGCTCTCAGGCACAGAACGGTTATGGGGCTGTGGCAGTCAGGAGCGTGATCAGATAAAGTGGCTTTTTTGTGAAAAGAAAAAACGGGTGGTCACTGCTCTCCTCAGATAAAGCGCTTCCTGTCGTTTTCCTTGAACTAACTTGGAATCCAGTCTCTAGGAGTGAAGAAAGCCAGAGCTCCCCTGAGTCTGCCTCGATCTGGCCCCCATTCAGCCTGTCACTGCTTGTGCAAGTGCGCAAGTCCCCAGCCCTCGCCAGGTCCCTGCATCTTCACCTGTAGTTGTGACAGCTCTGATAACGGCACTAGCCAACACTCCTCCAGCACCTGCCGTGTCCGGGGTGCTCTCAGATACAAATATATCGAAATAAATAAGAGAAGTCAACTCAGACGGAGCCTGCATCCCTGTGGCTCCTCCCATATCTGCAGATCTTGACTTGAGGCCTGCTTTGGGGTTTCAATCATTAAGCGAGGCATTAATGACCCTTATCTGGCCCAGATCATCGGACAAGCAGGCTTTGTGATGCTGGCACTGAGTGGCGAGCCTCCCTGGCAGGGTGATCATGCTGTGTGTGAGCTCAGGGTGACTGATGAGGTGTGGGGACAGTGAGTGAGCACAAAACAAATGGTACAGCAAGTGGGACAGGGTGACTGGAGGTGAGGAGCTGCAGGCCCCTTGCCTTGCAGCCTCCGAGGAAGACCTCCTTGGATACCTTCCAGACCTGACACGGGATCTTCCCAAAGCAGGGAACCATCTGGACCCCTCTCATGGAAGCCTGGTTAAAAGGGATGTGCATTCTCCAGTGGCTTCCCTCTCCTCATTTGTGGATTACAGGGAGACAATGGACTGGCTCCAGGAAAAGATAACCGATTTGGCCTGTTTTAAATTGGCTCCAGTCACTACTGTGTATGCTGTGTCCCGTCCCGTCCCCCACCCCCCTCCCCACACTGCAGGCGCCCCCCCCCCCCCCGCTCCATTTCCTCGCTCTGCAGTGGAGAACACTGACTCTAAATGCACCACAGGTCCGTTCTTTCCAAAGCCCGGAAGCCCCCTTTCAGCCCCTTTGCACCTGGCCAACAGTTCCTTAATTTTCAGAATTCTGAATCAAGAATCATTTGGTTACTTTTCTTGAACGGTCTGGGGCCCTTCCCAGACCTCCCGTGCCTGCTCACTGGGTCAGGGATTTGGGGTGAAAGTTCTTTCCACACCGTATCCTAATCACCAAGGTATATACTAGACCGCTAATTTCTCTATCAATCAGAAGCCAGGACTGGCACCCTGGCTAATGCTTGCTACTTCTTTGAACTTAGAAACCAGTCAACCTCCACTAGCTTTAGCGAGAAGACAGACTAGGCCTGCTGGCTTGCCTTTAGAGCGCTTGCCAGGGAGCTGGTGTTCACTGTGAACTTGTCAATCTGCTCACCCAAAGTGAACCTACGGGTCTTGTGCCTAGGAAGTAGGTATGTAAGTGCTCCACTCAGACGGGAATAGAGAACACACTGACTGTGTCAATGAAGTTAGGTGTTTAGCTGTAACCAAGGCATGTGTGCACAGGCTATAGCTAGCAACATTACAACCCAGTGTTGGGCCCTCCCCACCCAACTGTCACCCTAAAGTCACTGCCTTATGTTAGGAGCAGTGAACCCCCAGATCCTGAATTTCATGTAAAGAACTTGTTTTCCTCTGCTCTGAGACAGCCTGCAGCTGCTCTGAGCACGAGACTCTCAGGAGCTCCTGATGGCAGGAGAGTGGTTTCTGGTGGGTTTGGCTAGGGCGTGGTTATCAGTTAAGGATCCCTATGTAAGCGGCTCTGGTGCACAACAAAGGAGGCATTTGGGGGGCATTCTGGCATCAAGGAAGACCTGTGTCTCTGTCTGTGTGTCTCAGTCTCCAGCCCCTTGCCCGCTTCACGAACTGTATGGTAGCGCATAAAGTGCAGATGGGCATGGTGCGCTACAGCCTTAGAGTTACCATCCCCAAGTCTTTCTTCCCAATTTACAATTTGATGGCCCCTCCGAGCTCTTCAGGCTCCCCACTCCACTCACTCCACTCACTACATCTGGCCCATGTCTGGGCTCTTGTGGCCTCATATTAAATGTCATCTCCCCCCAGGAGGTCTCCCTCAGACTGGGTTATACATTGTTCCTACGAGCATCCCAAACTTGACCACCGCGTCACCTTCAAGGCAATCTGTTCATTTTCCTACGCATTTCAAAACGTATAGGAAGCTGGAGCGACCTGTGAAAACCCGGCTCCTAACTCTGCCTCCTCTGCTCTCACCTTATATTGATCCCACGTGGATCCTTCTAGAACTGCACGGGCAAACAAAGGTGGACTCTCGCATTCACCTTTCCCATGTGAATCACACACTCACATCTAACCTCACCCTGTTGTGCTGGTTTGAAAGAAAATGACCACTATAGGCCCATAGGGAGTGGCACTATTAGGAGGTGTGGCCTTGTTGGAGGAAGTGTGTCACTGGAGGCGGGCTTTAAGGTCTTAGAAGCTCAAGCCAGGCCTACTGGCTCACTGTCTTTTCCTGCTGCCTGTGGATCCAGATGTAGAACTCTCAGCTCCTTCTCCCTTTCAGCTCCTTCTCCAGCACCATGTCTGCCTGCATGCTGCCCTGCTTCCCACCATAACAATAATGGACCAAACTGTAAGCCAGCCCCAATGAAGGGTTTTCCTTTTTAAGAGTTGGCATGGTCATGGTGTCTCTTCTCAGCAACAGATATCCTAAACAAGGTGCCTACTCACTTCATCCTCGGAAACCAAGTACCAACAGAATCGGTTTAAAGGAAGAAGAGTTTGATTTGTCTTGCAGCTTCGGATGGTTCAGCCCATAATTTTCTTGACTCCACATGCTTGGGGAAAAAATAATTATTGTAGTTGGGAGCCTGTGGAGAGTAGCCTCTTCAAGCCTTGTTGGAAAGGAGAGAGAGAGAAGAGAGCTCTGGGGCCCATGGATAACCTTCAAAGCCAGGCCTCCCCTGACTCACTTCCTCCATCTGGTTCACTCCGCAAACTTCCACTACCTCCCAGAATGTGACCACCAGCTGGGAACCAAGCATTCAACGCAGGAGCTAAGATGTACACTTCAAATTCAAACCGTAACAGAGACCACTCTGCCTCGGGCCTCAGGGTACTCCTCTCCCTGTCCTGTGGTGTCTGACAGTCTTTGTGCTGGATTTAGGTTGTATAGCTGTTCATCTGCAGGTGTGCAAGGAAATCAACGAATGCGTGCTTCACAGTGATTTTTGAAGAAGTTAAAATATTGTGTAATGTCTTCTCCAGAGATAAGGCCTATGAAAGTCATAACATTTGACCCTCCTTCTGTGACCCCAAGCATGAAGCTCAGGCTCAACATACTGCCAGGGCTCTGCTCCCCATAACAACACAGCTCTGCTGGGAAAGGAGAGCCAGTAACCAGTGTCTCCTCCTGCCCTGTCCCTAAGCCTGCACTCAGTGACCCCCTCTTAGCAGAAACCTCAGCTTCAGGGAATGATTTGTTTGAAGGCTCATGTCAGGTTGTCAAGTGATCCTAGCCTATCAAGATGAAAAACAATAGAGTCAGTAAAAAAAAAAAAATTACCAGCCAGTAAAGATGTCCATGGGAGTGTGCGGTCACAGAGAGACCCAGGTGGGAAGACTGTCCAGAGAAAGGGGTGGAGCTCATCATTCCTCTGGAGAGCCCCACCCAGCTCAGCCGAAGGTTTGAGTTTATGCAATGCAAACTCTGTCTCCGCCCCATAGCATTGGTGGGGCTGGGTTGCCTGAAGCAAACTCTGGACCCTTGAAGAGCTCACAATGACAGGTGCCATTATACAACATGACAAGAAGAGTAAGCATTCTCACACAGGGAGTGGAGGCAGCACAGAGCACAGACTGTTAATCCCATCTGGGGCCAGGGACAGGAAGAAACACAGAGAATCCGATGACTCAACTCATGTGTTTACTTGTCCATCTAACAAATAGATGCTGTAAACCTGCCATGACACAGAACAGTGACTCGCTCTAGCAGAATCAGGTCTGAGGACTTCTAGACCGAGAGGGCTCATGCCTGCCTGAGAGAGCCTTCGCCATAAAGCAGATTATTGAAAGAACTGTAGAACTTTCCCGGATATAGGGGATTTTCTATGGCGGTATCTGTGCTTCGTGAAGAGTGACGTCACTTCCTGGTCTCCATGGCACCGTGCTCTGCTCTCTTCCTCCCTCCTGGGCACTGCCACCCTTCAGTTCCCGTCCTCATCTCCTCATCTCTTCTCCCTGGTCATCAGCTTTCCCCTGAGCAGCGATTTCCAGACAGGTAGGTGAAATGACAGTCATACAAATAAAAAGCGGCCACGTGTTGAGGATTTATTTAACTCATTAATAAAGGAACCAGCCAGATGGCAGAGCTGGTGCGGAGGGTGTCTCAAGACCTCCTTGTGTCAACTAAGCGCTGTAGTCAGAATGCTGAGGAAGATTTCTTGCTAGGTACAGAACTGGCTAATAAACCTTCAGGATAGTAAAGACCACAACACTTGGAGTTTTTGTTTTTCTGTCAGACAAAAGCATTTGCATCTCAATCAGACACTTATCCCCACATCGACACGTAACTTCACTGAGTGTGGACCTTAATCGATAGGAAACAATGCGTCAGGAAAAAAGTACATTCCCACAGTGTAGGGCCCAGCACCAAGCTCTTGTTTTTGTTAATAAAGTTTTATTTACTTCCGTAATGCCCGTTCACTTAGCCGTTACTTTACCAAGACCATATGAATCATAAGACCAAAGACATTCATTATCTGCTCCTTATAGGAGAACTCTGTCGAATCCTGTGCATGGAGAATGAAGCAACCCTGGGGCGGCTCTGTCAGTCAGTGATCTCCTACAGCGGCGAGACAGCAAGATCACACAGGTCTCCTTGCCGCGCTTGTGCACTTAGGGTGGTTAGCATTGTGCCTCGTCACCCTGATTTCCCCTACACCTGTTGTCCAGACTCTTAGCAGGCCTTCAAAACCATACGCCTCACATTCATGACCTCCTGTTTACAGTCTTCCCAAGTCCCCACCACCAGCTGGTCCAACTGACCTTGCAAAAATCCCGAGCCCCTGGACCCCCCAGTTACCTTGTGGCGGGTGCTACTAGAATACTATATGTAGGCAACTCGCAGCCCTTCGGGTGCCCCAACGGGGAGCATGGCTTTCTGTTTGCCCACACTAGGAGGCAGAAGGAAGATCTTGGTGCAAGAGGATTGAAACTGAGGTCCAGTCCATAGTTCGGAGGTCACAGTCCCAGGTGTGCTGGTTTCGTACAGAGACTTAGTGTACAACATAAGAGACATGGTTTGAGAAATTCTCCAACAGAGTCCAGTACTCTTACCACGAAAACTAAAGGTAACTGTGTGAGGTCACTGGGTGTGTGCGTTTGCTTGACCATGGTAACCACTTCTCTGTCATATCTGTGTATCAAAACATGCTGTCCACCCTAAATGTGGCCAGCAAAAGGGGGATTTAATAGCAAGCAGCCCCGGTTTCTGGGGACAAGCTTGTTTATGAATCCTGGCACCTGGTTCAGGGCACCACGCATGAGTGTGTTCCCACAGCCCGTGTCTTTGTGTGGCTTTGAAATGAGTACTGTGCTGAGATGAACAGACAGAGGAAGAGACGGGAGCACAGCTGGAGGGAGGGGAGGGCCAAGAGGACAACATCTGCTTTCTATTCCCCAGGCTCGGGGCCAGGCGCCCTCCTGGTGTAACGTTTCTTCGTTCTGTATAAACAGAAAGGATGATTCTCGTAATCTCGGCAACAAAATACGCAGGCATAAAAACGGGTCATATTTTACTCTAATGAGAGAAACGAGGGACGATTTCCTTCACACAGAGAAGCCTGGGTTGCTGTAATTAACACCAAATGGTCCTGCGGCCAGTTGCAAACATGATGAAGAGGTTATTGGGATTGGAAGAAACCTGGGACTTCGGGGGTGGCTGATCCTTTGCCAGGCTCCTTTATACCATCCCCAGCCACTGCCACGACCCCAGCCACTGCCACCACCCCGGCCACTGCCACCACCCTGGCCACTGCCACCACTCCAGCCCTCCAGTGCTGGCTCCTGAAAATAAGGGGAAGGAATTAACATCATTAGCGCTTTCTCTATGATTTACACACATACTTGTTCACCTAAGCATAAGAACATCCATAGAGCATACAGCACATTTATACATACTGTACCTTACTCACACACTGCACACATACCACTCAGAAATACTACACACACATACCACATATATACCATCTACATACACAGTCACACACACCCCATATATAATACACACATTGCATATATATCATATACATACACAGTCACATACACACTGCATATATAACATAAACAACACCTATACACCATATACATACAGTCATACACATGTCACATTTTACCATATACATACACACATGCAGTCACACATGTGTCACATTTTACCATATACATACACACATGCAGTCACACACATCACATATATACCATATACATACAGACATACCACATGTATATCATATATGTACACACAATCATACACATACCACACACACACAGAGTCACAAAGCACACTGCACCCTGATTTTTTGAAGCCCAAAAATTAAGTTTCAGAGAGGTAATGTAATCTCAACAAAGATCTCACAGCGTGAAAGTTATAGGAGAAGAGCCTTAGCCCTTGACATAAATTTGACCTTCAAATCTCACCTGTGACAATAAGGTGTGTACGTACAGCTTTATGATCCAGTCACAGGTACCTCTCCTTTCCTGCTGACGCTTGCCTCCCTGTCTGTTCAGGTGCTGGGGTCTCCAACTTGGATAGTCCTCACTAGCTGTTTGGTTGTGGCCCCTTCCAAATCTAGCGCACAAGACAACAGGCAGCTGGGCAGGAGCTCAGCGTAGTGGCCTGCAGCACACACGTGGGCCACCCATTCCAGTCAAGTCTCCTTCTGACTCGCCTTCTCTTTGAGAATCGCTGAGGGCCCTGCGGAGAAAGGCTGAGAGAACACACAGAAGCGGCTTGCACACAGAGCGTGGCCCGGAGTTTGCCTGTCGAAAAGCTGCGTTCCCGTCATCAAGACCCAAAGTTGAGCCTGTCTTCTCCAGAGGAGACCACTGCCATCAGAGGCAGCTGTCATAGGCCCCACTGTACTGTCCCTCCAGCCCTGAAAACCTATCACCCCATTATGTGTGTGTCTGCCTGCCTGTGATGATCGACTTACAGTCAGCTCCCGGAGTTAGCCTGGACTACTGAACCGACATTTTAGACCCCTGTTAGCAGCACCACAGCACTGTCCCCTGCAGGTGACAGTGACAGAATGAAACTGTGTTTGGCTAATAAATAAATAAAGATAAAATCATTTTAAATGAGGACTCAGGGAGACACCTGGGACACACACATTTCCAGCTCTTTGCCTTCCCGTATGAGAGTAGTGACGTTGCTCCCGTTGCAGTTTGGTGAGGTCACATGACTTTCTTTGACCAAGGACACATGAATGAAGGTAAACGTCACTTCAAAAACAGTTAATGGTGGTAGAAGGCTTTTCGGAACTTTCTCCTCTTGCTGTTGATGTGGGAAATCCGCAATGACACACACAGTCAGTTTCACTGATAAGTCTCCCAGGTTCAGCCACACACTGTGCACACATAGAATGAAGCGTTCCTTTTTTAAAAAACCCTTGAAATTGCAGAGGGTGAAAGGCTAATTCCTGTACCATAAAGTGGCCTATTTCACAAGCACAAAGCCAGAAGAAAAGCATGAGCCAACTGAGAGCAGGCTCTGACTGTCCTGCCACATCTCCTGTGCCATGGAATCTACGCTAATGATGTTGTTATGACTGAAGACGTTGCCGGACATTGGAGAACTCAGAGTACATGTGCCCATACCCTGAACTGAGGAAGTTACAGAACAAAGAACTCTTAAAATGCAAATTAAATTAAAAACAAGAATCAAGATGAGGAAGCTGTCATGTATGAGAGAGGGCAGTGAGCATCAAATCCTACAGTCTGTTAGAGTTAAATGGAAGCTGATGATGACTGCCGAGCAGGGAACTGTAATACGGGTGAAGTGAGGATTATTGAAACCCTGAGGTTTATGGTAAGAAGAGAGGCTAATATGATGACCATTCTATATTTATTCAGCCAAACCCAGGAGGCACACGTATGACAGAGAGAGATGTGGGTAGGCTATCAAGGGGAGATCCCACGAGAGAATAGAAAAGTGAAGAAATTAAAATGTTTAAATTCTTCATCACTGCGGAGAGCACAAAGCCAAATAAAACAAAACCGAGGGAGGAAAGAATTAGGAAGAGTTATTAAATTTTTATGGAGCAACAGAGAAGCATTTTTACTATGAAGATAGCTAACAGCGTCGATGACTGCGATATCCGTTGTTTGTTCAACAAATAGGTATTGGGTAGCAGGTCTCTTCCAGGTGTGCTTCTGAGAGTTGGAGCTGCAGGAGTGGGCAGGTCAGTACATAAAACTCTTCCTCTCAAGGGGAAAACAGGCATGAGACAGATATACAAACCAGATGATTTCAGACACGGATCGCCACCACTTCTGTTCCTTGGGAGAGAATAGAAACTGGCCGTGTTATGATGAGGAGAGAATTCTAGGCACAAATAAAAGTCACAGGATTCTAAGGTGGCCATAAACTCATTGCGTCCAAGCAATGAGAAGAAGGTGAGCATGACCAGGGCTGTATGGGGACCATGAAAGCAGTTCACAGAGGTTCTATGGCTAAGAACATGAGACGCATATGAGAAACGTCAGGGGAGTTCTAAGTGGAGGTTGTATTATGTTGTGATTTCTTTTGGAGACCAGTAGCAGATGTAGGGGAAAGGGGTGTGAAGGGAATAGCGAGAGGGAATGGGGGACACCAAGTGGAAGAAGAGGTGGCTGGGACAGGATGGTGGCAATGTGCACGGGGAGCAGAGACAGTTTGGGATTCGTTCTCTGAGACAGATGCCGATGGGCTCGTGATCCTACATGAGAAGGATGAATCTGAGTTGGTTCAATTTTTTTTTTAACTTAAACACTTGAATAGGTGTTAAATGAAGACTGAGAAAGCTCACGTTGGAGGCCAGGAAGGCGGGTTGTAAGTGACGTTGCAGGGCAGGCTAGTTCCATTTGAGATGCTTAAACATCTGGTGGGGAAGTCAAGCGCACACTTGAACACGTGAGCTTAGGAAGAAGTCATGGATAAACACAAACCTTCGCTAAAGAGAAGGTTTCGGAAGCCAAAGGAGGTACTGAGCCTGTTGTCCAAACAGAGCTCCAGGTTACAAGTACAAAGGCACCTGGATGTATAACACCACAGTGAGTATCTAACCGACGGCACTCTCTTCCATTTGAGAAGGACTGAAGAGGGTCTCCCAGCATGAATCTGGAATGAGTTTCAAGATGCTAGGTGTGATGAATCCAGTAAGTCCCCTATAGTCTTTTTATGTTTTTAAGCACTATGTCTCCAATTGGTGGCTCTGTTTGGGGAGGTTATGGAAGAGGTAGTGCCTTGCTGGAGGAAGAGCATCACTGTAGGAAGGTTTGGAGGGACTATGGCTTTCCTCACTTCCTGCTCCCTGTCTCTGCTTCCTGTGTATGGGTAGAAATGTGATCTGCCGGTTTCCTACTCTGGCCACCTGGTTCCATGCCCCGCTGCTACTATGGACTCTCCCTCTAGACCCGTAAGTCAAAATAAACACTCTTCGGTAAATTGCTTTTGTTCATGGTATTTCATCACAGTTCCAAAAAGGAACTAATGTATTGTGTATTAACTTTGACATGGGCAAGACACATACATCACTCTCTCTGGTCCCTGATCATCTCTACTATGAGAAAGGAAGCAGATCAGTCGTGGTCACCTAAAAATGAGGTGAGACTGGAAACGAGAATGATTAGTAAGTGATGAATCATGAGAAAATTTAGATGGAGATGGGCAGGTTCTTTACAATCATTGTGTTGAGAGCTCAAAGGTGTGCACACATCTTAAAATGCCAAATTGTGTATTTCAAGCATATAGGTTCTTATATGTCAATCATACCTCATGACACTCACTGTTCATTATAAAATGGAACAATCTATGCTTTTATTGTTGTTGTTTGGTTGGTTGTTTAGCGTTTTTGTTTAGCTGGCTGGTTTTTTGGTTAGAATTTTTGTTGTTTGAGATAGGGTTTCTCTTTGAGATTTGAGTTCCTGGCTGGTCTGGAACTCACTATGTTAACCCAGCTGACCTCCAACTCACAAAAAGCCTCCTGCCTCTGCCTCCTGAGTGTTGGAACTAAAAGTTCGCACTACCACCCTCAGCTTATACTTTATTTGTGTGAGAAATTGTGTCCTTATGATTTATATAATAATTAAGGATACCTGAAACAGGGGAAATAATAGACAAGTGAGATGCATCCCATTTCTAGAGATGTTTGTCCTATTGAAATTGTCATTGCTTTGAGAGCAGCGTGAAAGGAAAATGTGAAGATGTTCCTGACAATATAATAATGCGGAGAGGGAGGAGTTGGTGATAGTCGAGGTGATAGTAGACATATGTACATACATACATACATACATACACATAGATAATAGAGATAGGTAGATAGATAGATAGATAGATGATAGGTAGATAGATAGATAGATAGATAGATAGATAGATAGATAGATAGATAGATAGATAGATAGA